CGGGCTGGGGATTCGAACCCGCCACCTTAGGTGTATGTGGCTGGTGCCTTAGCCGCTTGAGCCACAGGCGCCGAGCCTAAACTTTTGATTCTGAGATAACCGTAGATTCACATACAATTGTAAGAAGTAATACAGCGAGATCCTGTGTACCCTTCACCTGGTCCCCCCCCATTGGTAACATCTTATATAACTTTAATGCAGCATCATAATCAGGAGGTGACACTGGTATTATCCACCCACTTGCTTCAGATTTTACTAGTTTTATATGTATTTCAAGGCATTTTATCATGTATGTAGTTTTGTGTGACATCAGCATTTTTAAGAAATGGACTAGATCAGAATCATCACACCTACTAAGGGTAGGTATTAATTTGGAAATGAGTTTTAGTTACATCCACATATCATGACTGGATTGTAGAAATGCCTTTTTACTGTGAGTCATTGAAGAGGTTTGAGAGCCACAAGTCATCAGGCTTCATTTTACATAAATGAAATGGGCTCCCAGAGAGCTTGGGGTTCTCTGATTTCTAGCCGGCTGCTATTGGGGTACCCCTGGTCACCTATTTCTGATAAATGGAAAACCTGGTTAGATGTATTGAAAGAAAGTGATATTTGCATTCTGTACTCCATGAGTTGAGAGTAATTTTTACTAAGAATCAGAGGTTTTTGATTTGTTTTGTTGAGACAGTCTCACTTTGTCACCCTCGATGGAGTGCCATGGTGTCATAGCTCACAGCAACCTCAAACTCTTAGACACAAGTGATTCTCTTCCCTTAGCCTCCCCAGTAGCTTGCACTTGCCATAACATCTGGCTATTTTTAGAGACAGGGTCTAGCTTGGCTCAGGCTGGTCTCGAACTCCTGAGCTCAGGCAATCTAGCCTCCCAGAGTGCTAGGATTACAGGTCTGAGCCACCATGCCTGGCCCCTTTGTTTTGTTTTTTTGAGACAGTCTTACTCTGTCACCTTGGGTAGAGTGCACTGGTGTCCTCTTAGTTCACTGCAACCTCCAAGTCCTGGGCCAAAGTGATTCTCTTGTGCCTCAGCCTCCCAAGTAGCTGGAACTACAGATGCCCACTACAATATCTGGCTAATTTTTTCTTTTTTAGTAGATATGGGGTCTCTCCTTGCTCAGGCTGGTCTCAAACTCAAGACCTCAAATGCTCCACCCAGTTTTATTTTGTTTGTTTTTTTTGAGACAGAGTCTTACTATGTCACCCTTGGTAGAGTGCTACGGCATCACAGCTCATAGCAACCTCCAACTCCTGGGGTCAAGTGACTCTTCTGCTTCTGCCTCCCAAGTAGCTGGGACTACAGGCGTCCACCACATGGCCCACCTATTTTTTGGTTGCAGCCATCATTGTTGTCTGGCAGGCCCAGGCTGGATTCGAACCCACCAGCTCAGGTCTATGTGGCTCGCACCTCAGTCACTTGAGCCACAGGCACCAAGTCAAGTTTTTGCCTTTTTTTATTACCTACATTTTATTTTCTATATTTAATTTATTATTTTGTTGTTGTTGTTGGAGACAGTCTCATTTTATTGTCCTCAGTAGAGTGCCATGGCATCATAGCTCACAACAACCTCAAACTCTTGGGCTCAAGCAATTCTCTTGTTATCAGCCTCCTGAGTAGCTACAGGCTATAGGCACCCACCAGAATTCCCAGCTAAATTTTTCTTTTTTAGAGACAGGGGTCTCTTGCTCAGGCTGGTCTCAAACCTATGAGCTCAGGGCAATCAACCTCCCAGAGTGTGGAGATTATAGATATTTAATTATTTTTTGAGGGGGGAGAGACAGAGTCTCACTTTGTTGTCCTGGGTAGAGTGCTGTGACGTCACAGCTCACAGCAACATCAAATTCGTAGGTTTAAATGATCCTCTTGTCTCAACGCCCAGCTATTTTTATTTTTATTTTTTTGGAGACAGAGCCTCAAGCTGTCGCCCTGGGTAGAGTGCTATGGCATCACAGCTCACAGCAACCTCCAACTCCTGAGCTCAAGCAAGTCTACTGCCTCAGCCTCTCAAGTAGCTGGGACCAAAGGCGCTCGCCACAACACCCGGCTATTTTTTGGTTGCAGCCATCATTGTTGTTTTGGTGGGCCCGGGCTGGATTCGAACCCGCCACCTTAGATGTATGTGGCTGGCGCTTTAGCCACCTGAGCCACAGGTGCGGAGCCCTGCCCAGCTATTTTTAGAGATGGGGTCTCACTCTTGCTCAGACTGATCTTGAACGCCTGACCTCAAGCAGTCTACCCTTCTTGGTGTCCCAGAGTGCTAGGATTACAGGCAGGAGCCCCTGCTCCTGCCCCCTCCCCCTTTTTTAAGAGACAGTTTTGCCTTGTTGCCCAGCCTGGACTCAAACTCCTGGGCTCCTCAGCCTTCAGAATAGCTGGAACCACAGGCACAGACCTTTGTACTCAGCTGTTTTTACTTGGTTATTTTAGAATATAACTAATATGTTAGAGCTCACTAAACTCTTCTTGCCAATAGTGGGAATCAAGATTCCTGAGAAGTACTGTAGATGGCAAAACCAAAGTCACTTAGAAAATACGGAGCTAGGAGAAAAAAGGCACTAAATATTTTTTACAGGACTAAATCCTAAGGAAACATCTAATTCTAAGAACCTTATGTCAGCATTAAAAATCCATTCTAGACCAGGCATGGTAGCTTACACCTATAGTCCTAGCCTTTTGAGAGGCTGAGGTAGAAGGATCACTTGAGGCCAAGAGTTTGAGAGCAGCCCAAGTAACAGAACCCTGTCTTTACAAAAGTTTGGTTTTGTTCTTTTTGTTTTTTTGAGATAGTCATCCTCCCTAGTGGCTGGGACTACAGGTGCCCAGCCACAATTCCCTAGTTTTAGGGAAGTGATCTTGCTCTTGCTCAGGCTGTATTGAACTCCTGAGCTGATTCAGTCCACCCACCTCAGCCTCCCAGACTGCTAGGATTACAGGTGTGAGCCACTGTGCAAGATTATTTTTTTGCAGGTTTTTGTTTTTTTTTTTTTTTTGGCTGGGGCTGGGTTTGAACCCACCACCTCCAGCATATGGGGCCAATGCCCTACTCCTTTGAGCCACAGGTGCCGCACTGTGCAAGATTATTTTTGTGTTGTTTTTTGTTTTCTTTTTTTTTTTTTAAAAGGAATCTCACTTTGTTGCCCCAGGCCAGAGTACCATGGCCTCAGCTCACAGCAACCTGGAATTTATGGGTTCAAGCAATCCTCTTACCTCAGCCTCCCGAGTAGCTAGGACTATAGGCACCATGACACCCAGCTAGTTTTTTGGGTTTTTTCTGTTTTTAGTAGAAGTGGGGTCTCACTCTTGCTCAGGTTGGTCTTGAACTCCTAAGCTCAAGCAATCTGCCTGCCTTCGCCTCCCAGAGTCCTAGCATTACAGGTGTGAGCAACAGTGCCTGGCCTCTACAAAAGATTATTAAAAACTAGCCAAGCATGGTAGTATACCCCAGAGGCTGAAGCAGGATTGCTTGAGCCCAGGAGCTCAAGGCTTCAGTGAGCTTTGATTATACCACTGTACTCTAGCCCAGGGGACAGAGTGAGATCCTGTCTCAAAAAAAAAAAAAAAAACAACCTTTGCTGGGTAAACCCCTATCCAGATTCACTCCTTTCTCTTACCCTATTTTTAAGACACACTTGGCATTAGCATGGATGTAGTCTAAAAAAACCACTCCTTGTTGTCCCTGAGGCCTCTGTAGCTCCAGTGGAGGCCTGTGGGAGGAAGAGCATGGCTGGTCTAGTCCCCCTGCCCATGGTTGCTGATTGGCTCACCTGCTCCAAGGGCCCACACTTAGGAAGTGTGGGTATCCTTGGATATGAATTGGACAGGAGGCTCAGCACCTGTGGCTCAAGTGGCTAAGGCGCCAGCCACATATACCTAAGGTGGTGGGTTCGAATCCAGCCTGGGCCCGCCAAACAACTGATGGCTGCAACCAAAAAATAGCTGGGCATTGTGGCGGGCGCCTGTGGTCCCAGCTACTTAGGAGGTAGAGGCAGGAGACTCGCTTGACCCCAGAAGTTGGAGGTGGCTGTGAGCTGTGATGCCCCAGCACTCTAACCAGGGGGACAGCTTGAGGCTCTGTCTCAAAAAAAATGAACAGGGACAAAATTTTTTTTTTTTTTTTTTTTTTTTTTTTTTTTGAGAGTCTTGCTTTATCATTGTTACCCAGGCTAGAATGCAGTGGTGTCCTTATAGCTCTTGGGCTCCAGCAATCCTGCCTCAGCCTCCTGAGCAGCTGGGACTACAGGGTGCATGCCACCACACCCAGCTAAGCAAACTTCTTAATCTGAGTCCTGACAGCCTCACCTTTAATTGGACATAACACCACCTACCTAACAGGGTTTTTAAAAGGAAAAGTGAGTAGATAAATGCCTGTCACATCATATGTGTTATCATGTCTGTTTACAATGCCATTTAATAAATCCTTGTTCCCTTCACACACTCAAAGAGAATCAGAAATGACAAGACTACTGTAGAAGCAAAGTTCAACATAAGCCAAGCCCTATTTTGCTGTTGGGATTTTCCAGCCCTTCCCCAGAATGGTTGGTATTTTAGTGTTTTCCCCTTCTTGGATGGACCTTACTTCAGGAAGCAGGTGGGTGGGAATCTCCATGTATGGCTAGACTGGGACCTGGGCAAGCTAAGAACAAGGAGCTCGACTGGGCAGGCAAGAACTGGAAGGATGGGGAGGGGTTGAAACCGAGGAGAGGAAGTGACCCTGGCTGCTGTGTCAGCCTTCGCTTGAGAGCTGCCACTCTGTTTCCCACATACTCAACTGGAGTAAAGCTCATGAGCTCTTGACCTAACAGCTACTGAAGCCTAAGCCCAGACCCTGGGTCTGCTCTGGTGATTTAGGGGTTCAAACAGTGCTGCCCCCTTCTGGGGACTGCTAAAAGCACCACAGTTTCCGTGGCTTGTAGGGTCAGTATCTGACCTGGAGGATCCAGCATTTTATAGCTAACAGAAAAGCAGGATTTCCTCTACCTATACAGATGACTTAGGTTTAAGGCATCCTGAAGCCAGGTTTGCATTCCGAGGCCCTAAGGGTGCACCTGCTCTTACCAGTGGGGAGTGTTGAAAAGTGGCACAGGGAGGCTAGCCCAGGGTCCAGGAAGCCCTGGCCCTTGTGTATCACACCCACCCAGCCCCGAATATGGTTCAGCAGAGAGAAATTCAAATACCTATTAGCATGGAAGTGGACAGAGGAGGCCCAGAAGTCTGGGTTATTCACCCTGAAACAGACTACCTCAGGAAGAGAGCTGGGTCCAAGGCGCAGAGTCAGCTGGCTAGAGCTCTGAAAACTGCATCTGTGTGGGTGAAGGGAAGCCAGGGGATGAGTCAGCCCCAAGGATAATGAAGGAGCAAAGAGGAACTAGATGATCCAGTAAGGGAGAAGCGGCCGAATGGGGAACAGAACCCAGGCCTAAGTTGTCCCCCTTCACATGTCATTCCACAGTGTTTAGACAGAGCCTCGAAGAAGAAACACAGACATCCTGGATCCTGCAGGGAGGAGGCAAGGGCTGGGAACAAGGAGGTCTGTTTATTCCTGGCAGTCCCCATATCCAAGGGGCCCCACACCCACTTGTGTCCAGACCCCAGGCTGAACTCTCCCAGAGCTTCTCTGACTTTTCCCAACCAGATAGCATGGGTCCTTCCTGGGCCTGGGTGCTGAAACCGAACAGCTCCCTTGAGGATGGGATTGAGGGCTGTGTTCCAGTGGAGGTCCCAGCTCTCCAGGCCCTCTGGATGGCTGTGAAGGGCTGGCAGATTCTCAGGCCTGCTGCCCTTTAGGACCAGGCCTCTCCAGAGAGTACCAAAGTCTCCTCGCTCCATTGGCTGGTGCTCTTCAGCCCAGGAGTTCTTCCTAATGTCTCACCCCCAGCTTTTTTGCTGCAGTGTCTGCCTGCTCTCTCTCATTTCCAGCCTCGAGAGCATGTACCCAGGCTTCTCTCTGCCTCCTCACCCCAAATCTGCATTTGATACAAGGTGGAGATCAGAACCCCCCACTTCTTGGCTTCCTATCTTTGAACTTGCCCTTCCTTTTCACTGTACCTACTTTCCTCAGTTTCCCTGTGGAGCAAAAGTGGCATTCCCATGGCCAGGCATGGTGGCTTACGCCTATCTGTAATCCTAGCACTATGGGAGGCCAAGGCAGGTGGATTGCCCTGAGCTCACAAGTTTGAGACCAGCCTGTGCAAGAGCAAGACCCCATCTCAAAAAAAAAAAAAAAAAAAAAAAAAGCCAGGTATTGTAGCATATACCTATAGTCCCCCTACTTGAGAGGCTGAGGTAAGAGAATCACTTGAGCCCAAGAGTTGGAGGTTGCTGTGAGCTATAACATTATGGTACTCTATGGAGGGTGACAAAGTGAGACTGTCTGAAAAACAAAGTGGCATTCCCCTCTTGCTTTTCATAGGCTCCCCAACTGCCTTCCTCAACAGAGGTGTTGCTTACAGGTGATAGAGGCAGAGAAAGGCAGAAATCCTAATAAGGATTAGGATTATAAACATAATAGCTATCAACATTAAATGCCTTGTGCCACATCCTTATCACATGTTACCTCCTTTAATCTCACAATAGGTTAAGTACAAAAAAATTCCATTTTATGGGTGGCGCCTGTACCTCAAAGGAGTAGGGTGTTGGCCCCATATACCAGAGGTGGTGGGTTCAAACCCAGCCCCAGCCAAAAATTGCAAAAAAAAATTCCATTTTACAGATGAGGAAACTAAGACAAGAGAACTTTAGTGATTTGCCTAAGTTCACACAGTTAAAAATATAGGATCCCAGACGGCTCTGATTGCAATACTGGCTCATGCCTCTTCGTGATCCTGGAGAAGGAAAGAAAACCCCATAAAGAACTGGGGTATGCACAGTTATAGGTTACCCCATGCATTCCCCACAGCCAAGAGGTGGTTTTTCTTGTTCCCATTTTACAGAGGAAAACCTGAAGCCCAACAGTAGCTTGCCCGAGGTCACATCCCCAGAGCCATTTGTACTTTATAGCCCAGAACTTGACTCAGAAGGTAGTTGAGGAAAGTGTGGAATGACCAGATTCAGGAAGGCAAGGCTGGCTTTGTAAGCTGAAGGCCCCATCAGTACCAAACCCCCACTGCTGCTGTCACCACAGGTACCACCTATAACAGGTGGCAGAAGTATGGAGCTGGCCTTGCTGTCATCTGGCTGGCACTCCCAGGGTTTAAGGCTTGTAAATATGTTAGCTGAGGCAGGAAGTGGGGAGGGGTAGACTACATCATTATTATTCATGAATGGGGATGCGGTTTCTCAGATTAGCTGGGCACTAGTGGGAGATAGGAGAGCCACCACCTAGGTGGCAAGGTGTGTCCAGTTGGCTATGGCTGGGGGCACTAATGCTGAAGGATGGGACAGGGCGAGGGGTTGCTGCGGCTCACCAAGTGCCAGGTCCCACCCCCAGAGGCGGGGCCAGGAGTCAGCCGCTGCTACTCCATCCCTCCCGGAACCCAGGCAGGGACAGAGCCTGGGCAGGCGAGGCAGGCTGGGCCCACTGTCCCCACAGAACAGAGGCACCATGCACTCACCAGCCAGGACACCAGACATGATCCGAAGACCTGCAGGGCTGGCTACAGCAACTCCCGGACACTGAGGAAAGCCCAGGCTGGAAGCCGGGCAGGTAACACCTGTCCCCAACAGCCATGTGAGTAGCTAGCCCCCCCACCCCCACCTGCCATACTTCAATACCTCAGATCCAGATCCTAGAGAAGTCACTGTGCCCAATCCAAGCCACCAGCCCCTCCAGTGTGAGGGTGGTACAGCCAGCGTCCTGCTGGGAAATCACACCACAGGCTACTCTCTGCCCTTCTTACTGCTCCTATGGAGATGGGGTAGGAAGAATCACTCCAGACTAGGGCTGGGCACTCCAGCTCAGGCCAAGTTTCAGGTAAAGAATCATGAGTCTGAAATCATGGGAAAGATTCAAAAGAATCATGAGTTTAAAAAAAAAATGGTGAAAGGAGGAAGGGGACCGAAAATTGGAGGGCCTCTGGTTAGAGAAAGATGACTTGGGAGGAGAGCACAGGGGAGATTGAGGAAGAAGAACCAGGACTGAGGGCAGGGGAAAGGGGCCCAGGGGTGCAAGGGTTTAGAGGCTCAGGTCAGGGCACTGGAGAATCTGAGTCTGGAGGAGGATCATCTTCCTTTCAGCTCATGGTGGCCATGGGGCCCTGATCCTCCGACTTGGAGGAACATGGGGAATAGGAATCCTTTCCTTATTGACTTTAATCCCAGCAACAGTAGCTGCTCCCCTGTGATAGAAGCAGGAGCTTCTTCAGGACCCAGGACCCCTCCCCCTCCCTGTCCCCAGGATATGGCCATGTGGCCGTGGCACTGGGGGACTGAGACCAAGGAGTGAAGGGGAGGACAGGGACAGATCAGAGCCACAGAGAGGTCAGGCCCTGCCCATTGGCTTCTCTTTCCTGTCATCTGGGCTCAGCTTTGGGCCCTGGGGGTGTGTGGAGGGGGTCTTCTTGCTGCTGGTATCTCCACTTTCACTGCCAAGGGTCCCCTCCCCCTGTCCCTCTCTTCCTAGGAACGGCCCTGTTGCTAGTGTAGAGCTGACAGTCAAGTTTATGGGCTGGAAGTCCTACCTGGAGGCTGTTCACTGAACTGTAATGGGCTACAAGAACAGATGGGAGGAAGAGTGCAGGTGACAGGGCACTCCATTTGTACCCCAGACCTGGCCCAAAGGACCCTCTCACCTGGTAGCTGGTTGGAAGGCCACTGCACACTGGCTAGACTTGTCCTTTCCTTTTGTTCTTTTAGAAGCCACCCAGGTGGAGGCCAGGAGGCACAACTCCCCTGTGGGGCTGGGTGCTCTGTCATGTAGTCTATACAGCTGCCAGGTGAGGCCAGGCAGATAGCAGAAAGGGGTGGAGCTGGCCCTATGGGGACCACTGGTTAAATCCCCTTGTTGTTACCCTACAGGTGTTACCAGACCTGATTTTTCAAGAAAAAAATATGTGTTTTACATACATTTTTAATTGGCAATTAATTGAAAAATTATGTGTATCAGCAAATATGATATGGCACCCAGCACATGGGTCTGCACCCTCTGGATTAACTTGCAGACCCCAGCAGGATAGCAACCTGCACCCCCACCCTAACTCTTGTCCCTGGTCCTCCATGCAGGCATGCCAGCTGCTGCTCCAGGCCCGTTCTATCCCCAGGCCCAAGATGACAGCCAATAGCACTGAGGAGTGGCCCAGCTCTGTTCCCAAGGGGGCTCTGGGGCTCTCTCTGGCCCTGGCAAGCTTCATCGTCGTGGCTAACCTGCTCCTGTCCCTGGGCATCGCTTGGGACCGCCGTCTGCGCAGCCCACCTGCTGGCTGCTTCTTCCTAAGCCTGCTGCTGGCCGGGCTGCTCACGGGGCTGGCACTGCCCGTGCTGCCAGGGCTATGGAACCAGAGCCACCGGAGTTACTGGCCCTGCCTCCTTCTCTACTTAGCTCCCAATTTCTCCTTCCTCTCCCTGCTCGCCAACCTCCTGCTGGTGCATGGGGAGCGCTACATAGCAGTGCTGAGGCCACTCCGGCCCCCTGGGAGCACACGGCTGGCCCTGCTCCTCACCTGGGCTGGCCCTCTGCTCTTTGCCAGCCTACCTGCTCTGGGGTGGAACCACTGGACCCCTGGTGCCAACTGCAGCTCCCAGGCTGTCTTCCCAGCCCCCTACCTCTACCTTGAAATCTATGGGCTCCTGCTGCCTGCTGTGGGTGCTGCTGCCCTCCTCTCTGCCTGCGTGCTGGCCACTGCCCACCGCCAGCTGCAGGACATCCGTCGGCTGGAGCAGGCAGTGTGCCGTGACACACCTTCAGCCCTAGCCCGGGCCCTTACCTGGAGGCAGGCAAAGGCACAGGCAGGAGCCACACTACTCTTTGTGCTGTGCTGGGGGCCCTACGTGGCCACCCTGCTCCTCTCAGTCCTGGCCTTTGAGCACCGCCCACCACTGAGGGCTGGAACTCTGTTGTCCCTCCTCTCACTGGGCAGTGCCAGTGCAGCAGCCGTGCCTGTGGCCATGGGGCTGGGTGATCAGCGATACACAGCCCCCTGGAAGGCAGCTGCCCAAAGGTGGCTACAAGGCCTGCGGGGAAGGACCCTGTGGGGAAGGACCTCCCGGGGCAGTCCAGGCCCTAGCACTGCCTACCACACCAGCAGTCAAAGCAGCGTGGACCTGGACTTGAACTAGGGACTGGGCCTGGGCTGACCCTACCATAGCATCCACCCATCTCCACCAATCCTGTCTCCACAGGTCCCCACTTTTCAGAGTCAAAGACCTTGCCCCACCTGACTCTGCACTGACTGAATAAAGGTCATTTATAGTTATCTCACTCCGTACCTCAGAAGGGAGAGGCAGGTGGAGCAGCTATGGAAAGAACCTCAAAAGAGATGTGTGGAATGAGGGAGATTCCAACCCAGACAGGCAAGTAATTGCTGGTATGAAGAGACCACCCCTGGGAGGTGAGCTGACACACTGGACATGGAGCAGATCACGAGGGGAGCCTCACCTGGCATGGCCCTCACTAGCTCCTCCTTGCTCCCAACCACCACAAAATCCACACAGACATTGTCTCTGGGAAGTATATTTTATTTACATTTTTAAAATCTGTAACTAGTATCTCTTCCTCCTTTCCATCCCCAGAGACTTGGGAAGGGAAAGAACGGGAACCTCAAATACCTACTCCCCACATACAAATACATACCCCCATGGCTCACACCAGCAAAGGAAAGTGAAAGAGAGAGAGGCCTGACCCTCACTTGGAAGGGTCGGCCAGGCCTGGAAGAGGGGAAAGGGAAGGGGGCCTAGGGCTGGGTCTCTAAAGAGGAGAAAAGGACAAGAGGGGGCAAGTCAGCTGAAGGGGTTGTAAAGTAGTCCAAGGCCCCTCCCCTCCTCTTCCCTCTGTACCCTACAGCCTCCGCCGGTGGGGGGGCTCCCCTCATCCCCCCTCAACACCAGACACAAAGGCAGAGGCTGCAGCCATTAACGGTCAGGTCTCTGGACACAAAATACTTTCGCTTTATGGTCTCCTGATGTGGTCACCACCAGGGAGGCATCTCTGTAAATAGAAAGCATATGGGTGAAGGAATGGGATAAGCTGGGGACCAACCCAAGCCCACCCTAGGGCCTCCTCTGGCACATTTTTTTTTTAAAAGAAAAGGGGTCTCGGGGCGGCGCCTGTGGGTCAGTGAGTAGGGCAAGGCCCATATCCTGAGGGTGGCAGGTTCAAACCAGGCCCCAGCCAAACTCCAACAACAAAAAAACAGCTGCGTGTTGTGGCAGGCATCTGTAGTCCCAGCTACTCAGGAGGCTAAGGCAAGAGAATCAGATAAGCCCAAGAGCTGGAGGTTGCCGTGAGCTGTGATGCCACAGCACTCTACCAAGGGGGACAAAGTGAGACTTTGTCTCTTAAAAAAAAAAAAAAGGAGTCTCGCTCTTGGTTAGGCTGGTCTTGAACTGCTGAGCTCAAGCAATCCACCCACTCAGCTTCCCACAGTGCTAGGATTACAGGCATGAGCCACCATACCTGGCTCATGTGCCAGGCATGCGCTTCTGATATATCCTCAATGCTAGACCCCAGTGCCTAGCACTGTGCTCCCACCTCCACACAGCCAGCAAGGAGATCAAAGGAGGAAAGCCCAGCAGAGGAGAATCACAGAGCTGACTCAGAGAGGGGAAATGGATCTCAGCTTCTTACCCCATGACAGGGATGTGAGACCCTGGGTAGGTCCCTGTCATCTACTGGGGTGGGGGCTGGATCAACAGTTACAACTCCCTGGGCTGTGAACCCTCAGGCTTCCTAGCATCCCTGCCTCACAGGGTACAACCAGGCCTCGGATCCCAGCTTCCCACAGCACTCTCCTCCCACACCCCAAGAACCCTTCCAAACACACAGAGATCCAGCCCTCACCCCATTCACTTACTTGCTGAGGGCAAAGTCCAAGATCTCGGCTGTATGGCCCCGGTAGTCAGTGAGCAGTCGACCAGTCCGGGCATCCCAGAGGCGCACAATGCCATCCAGACTACAGGTGTAAACCACAGCGGTACCTGCCTCCCACAGCAGCTGCACGATGCCCGACTGCCCCGGGGTGTGACAGATGCAGTGTGGAGGTCAGAGTGGGGAGAGCTGAGAGGCATCTGCTCCCACCTCTCATGGAAGGAAAGCCACAGAGAAGGACCAAGCAGGAACCAGGTCTGGGGTAGATGCACCCAGAGATCTGGGTTTTCTATGGCCACGGCCATAGCCCATGGGGAACCCAGCTCCAGCTGTCCATACCTGGTGCTGACACTGGTGCCTAAGGGTCTGCGTAGACAGGTCATAGATAGCCAAGGTCCCATCCAGGTAGCCAACGGCTGCCAGAGGCATCCTGGACCAAGAACACCATGAGGACACATGCCCTGCCTCTCTCTGGGGCTCCAGCCATAAGCCTCCTCCCATAAGCCGCCTCCTCCTCCAATCCTCCTTGTCTCCAGGCCAAGGCCTTGGCTCACACTCACACGCTGCAGAAGCCCAAGGACTCCACTGAGTTGGACTCACTCTCCTCCCCTTCTCCCAGGTTGGGCTGGGAGGCCACAGTCTCAGGTCTGAAAACACCCACCACCTGTAAGTGAGAGAGGATCACAGGGGGCCTGAAATCTCAGTCCTCTGATAAAAAGACTAGGGGATAGAGGGACAGAGTGAAGAATGAAAAAGAAAGAAGATACAGGAAAGAAGACACAGGAAAGCAGAGGGCCCCCCAGTCAGGCTCCAGGTCCACTCACCTTGCCTGTGGTGGCACTGACCAGCTTGGCCTGGCAGTCCACAGAGCCAGTTAGGATCAGGCTGCCATCCTGATTGGTGGCGACACAAGTCAGAGGGCCCTGGTGACCCTCAGTCCCTAGGTTAGAACAAGGGTGATGAGCTTTGTCCTATCTCCCTTCTGAGTACTCCCCTGGGGTTTCAACCCCCTCCCCAAAGGTGCAGGTTGACTCCCTCCCTCCACCTCTGATACCTTTCAGTACATGGATGGGGTTTCCCTGCTTCAGGTCCCAAATCCTGATAGTGCCATCTTCATAGCCTACCACAGCTCTCTTCCCTAAAAGGCCAGAGGCACAGAGAGAAGACAGTGTGCACTGAGACTCAAAGAGCAAGAGAAGGGGATGGGGGAAGGGAGAGGCAAGAACAGTAAGGGCACAGATATTGCCCCAGTTCAAGGAAGGAGGAAGGTGCCGTCAGCTGTGGGGCCTGGGAGTTAAGCACTCCCAAGAGCAGGCTTCAGAGTTTGCCAACTGTGGCTCAGGAAGGAGCTTAAAGTGCCTAACCCTGGATTCAACCTCTGTACCCAGGAAAGGACACTCAAGGGAGCTGTTCTCACCATCAGGGAGGACTCGGCCACAGGTCGCTGGACAGTTGGGACCCTGAAAAGTCTTACAGTCACCATTCGGGACCTTCCACATCCAGGTGTTGCCATCGGCTGTGCCCGCCAGTAGAACAGGTGCCCGAGGGTGCCACTCCATCCACTGGGCAGGGAAAAAGGTACAACAGGGAGACCCATCATCTCAATCCCACCTAGGAGTCTGCCCCATGAGTCCTAACCAAGGTTTCCCTGCTTCTGGGATCAGTATATACTTTCCAGTAACAAATATAGAAATTCTTGCTATACCCTGAGGTGCACTTATTTCTTATAGATAGGACTGTCCCCCTGAGTTCTCATTCCCCCCACCTAAGGTCCCACAGAGCTGAATCCCATTCTGATGATTTCACCTCCAGGTCTCCTGCTTCAAAGGACCAGACCTCCTCCTTGGTGTCCACCTGCCACACTTTCAATAGGCCACTCATGTCCCCTGTGGCCACTAGGGTAGAGTCATGGCTGAAACCAGCACAAGTCACAGAGTCTTTATGGCCTGAAATGTGGGCAGAAAGAAAACAAATAATAATATACCTACTGCTAGGGACAAATGACCCCAGTATCTGGCCTCCTGAAAGGAGTGACTAGAGAAAAAAGAGGAAAGGGTGTGGTGGCATGTTCTATACTCCCAGCTAGCTGGGTTCAAGACCAAACTGGGCAACATAGCAAGACTGCATCTCAAAACACCCTAAGTCTCCCCAGAACAGACACTGCTGGCTCCCCTCACCCAAGCATATCCCAGGCTTCCTATTTCTTCTGCTGCTGTTCGCTTTACACCTCTACTTAAATCCTATGTCCTCCCCTCCATCCACCAACTCCAACACCAGTGTCACCTCCCCAGGTCTTTGCTAGACTCCCTCAGTGCCTCCTGAGCCAATAATAGACTAGTATGTATGTATGCTCCTTGGTGGCCCGGGCCCTAGGACAGGGCCCGGGCCACCAAATAGAGGTCACTAAATGGCTGTTGGATGCACAACCACTGCAGGCCAGGCCCCTAAGATATCCAAGGAACCTGTTCCTCCCAGGCCTCTACTCCAGCCCCCTTACCTGCACACTCAAAGAGCAGCTCCCCATCGCTGAGCCTCCACACAAAGGCTTTGTCATCTTCACCCCCTGTCACTGCTAAGGTGTTGGTTTTGGGGTCCAGGCTCACACAAAACACAGATGCTGTCCGAAGAGATAGTCCATGGTAAGGTGACAGAGCTGCCACCTAGGATTCTGTTCTCCAGAAGCCCACCCCCTTTCACCCAAAGCAATTTCACTTTCCTTCTGAAAAAGAATCTATTCTTATTCTAAGTTTAAAGCATCAGTTTTTAGGGTGGTGCCTGTGGCTCAGCAAGTAGGGTGCCAGCCCCATGTACCAAGGGTGGCAGGTTCAAACCCAGCCCCAGCCAAACTCCAACAAAAAAATAGCCAGGCGTTGTGGTGGGTGCTTGTAGTCCCAGCTACTCAGAAGGCTGAGGCAAGAGAATCTCCTAAGCCCAAGAGCTGGAGGTTGCTGTGAGCTGTGATGCCACAGCACTCTACCAAGGATGACAAAGTGAGACTGTCTCAAAAAAAAAAGGGAGGCTGAGGCAAGAGAATAGCCCAATTTCTGGAGGTTGCTGTGATTTGTGATGCCACGGCACTCTACCAAGGGCAATAAAGTGAGACTCTGTCTCTACAAAAAAAAAAAAGCATCAGTTTTTAAGAGAAAGCCTTCCCCAAGCTTAAGTCATTCTCCATGGCAGAAGCCATCCACACTGAAGCCATGGACAAGGGGTACATGTACAGGGCTTTCTATTCTCAGCATGGGATGTCACCAGGCTGGGTAAAAAAGAGAGCCAGGAGAGCATTATGTTGTGGGTTTCTTGCTAAGAAATAGTATTTGAGAAGATTATTAAAACTATGCTCCAAAAGGTATGATATTTACCTCTAATTTATACTCAAGCTGCTTTCATTAACTCTTATGGAAGATAACTTTTTAAAAGAAAACTAAGACCCAGAGGTTAATAAAGGTTAGTAGGCAAGTAAGACTGGCAGGATTTGAACCCAGGTTGTCTCAACAGACTCCAGACCCACCATACATACTGCCACCTACCCTGGAGCTCCTCCAGGGCAAGGCCATCATCTTTCCCTTCTCTGTGTTACTCTCAGCGCTATTTTGTCCAAGGTGTATGTCTGATGCTTACATGCCCACCGGGACTGATTTAAGGTGGATCTCCTCCTAGACTTACCTGAGTGCAAGGCAAAGGTGACCTCGCTATCGTCGGGGCCCTCCATGCTGCCGACCACCCCTTCTTGAGGTTCCAGAACCCAACCCTCTTCGTTGCCCTCTTCTTCTTCTTCCTCTTCCTCAAAGTCCACATCTTCCATCTCCTGGGCCAAATCATCTGCTTTGGGAACAGGGTTAAAAGATGGGGCTCAGGAGGCGGGAAGAAGGATGGGAAGAAGCGTCCGCAGGCCTGAGGCTGGGTCATGTGGCAAGAGGGTAAGGTGGAGTCAGATACACCGGGTGTAGCGGAGGGGCGAGAAGCGGCAGGGAGGAGGGGGCGTGTGGGACGGAGGACAGGAGACCAGGTCTCAGGACCTAGGGGCAGGCCAGCGACTGTGCGGGAAGGGAAGGCCGAGGGGATGATGGGAAGGGGGTGTGTGAGGGGAAGGGCCAGAAGAGACGTCAGGGAACCCCCACCTCTCCAGGCCTGAGAACTAAGTGTGGGATGGGGGAGGGGAGGGGAAAGGATGTCGGTAGGAATCACCAGTGGGGTGTGGACGGGAGGGGAGAGCAGCAGGGGTCAGAGGCCAGGGGTGAGCGCCTTCTGCCTGTCCCATGGCCTGAGAACGGCAGTTCTCACCCGGGTCCGGTGGACCGGGATCCAGTTCTACCACCTCGATAATCTCTTCATCACCATGGAAGCTTAGGGTCTCCAGTGGGGGGGTGTCAGCGGCAGCCCCGCTTTCCGATTCGGACTCCATGCGGCGCAAGCAGCAGATCCACTTCTCTGGGCCCAAACGCCTCCCAGAGTCAGCTCTGCGCGACGACGCGGAACTCGAGCCCCTCCTCCCGGGAGGAAGTAGGCGTAGGCTAGTCCCCAGCAGAAAGAGCGACGGCCCTTCGGCCACTAGAGATAGGTGTTGGCTGCCTGAATTACCAATCACAGTGCAGAGTTGGAAAACCGGGCCGGGGCGTGGCGAAGAAAACCCAAACCCCGCCCCACCTGACTCCGCCCCCAAGAAGAGGCAAACAAGAGAGCGTGCGCGCCTCCGGGGTCTCCTGGGAAGCGTAGTTCTCTCGGGTCCGCTCCATGGGCTTCTGGGAGTTGTAGTTTCTGGCCTGTAGGCAGGTCGGAAGGAGCGGGGGAGGCCCTTTACGCAAACTACAATTCCCGGCTGGGAGCGCGGTGAAGGGGGGTGGGATCTGATCATGGCGGCGGTGGTAGCTGCTACGGCGCTGAAGGGCCGGGGGGCAAGAAATGCCCGCGTCCTCCGGGGTAAGGAGAGGGACCCCGGGGAGGGCAGGACTGCCGGAGATCCTTTTTCTTTCACATCTCACCAGCGAGAGCAGGAGGTCAGGGCTGTCTGTTGCTGCCCATACTTCTCTGCGGGATCTTAAGAGTCTGGGGGAGAAAAGATGCTCTCTAGAGGTCACCCAGTCCATCCCTCTGCCTTCGGGCTGCACAACACGTTTGGGGTCTTGCTACAAAAGGGTGACCCAAGGAAGTCTTTTAGACTCCCGAGCTCCAGGTGTTTCACACTCACCGCAGTGCAGAGGAAAAAGCCCGGGACTTCTTGGAGGCTTGGGTTCTAGCCCCGGATAATTAGCAGTTTGACCTTGGGTGAAGTAGTTCGTCTCTCGGGGCTTCAGTTTCCTCTTCTATAAAATGAGGGGATGGAGTAGACTATCTTTAAGGTCCCTTCCAATGCTAGCATTCTGTAGTTTTCAATCTTTTCCCGGATTTCTTTCATACGTTTCATGTGAGTCCCACTGCAGCCCTTCCCATCCTGTCGCCTGAGATGAAGAACAGCAATGCTCGCCCTCCTGGCACCAGGGTGATGAGCCCGCAGTGACGTGGAAGTGGCTTCCAAAGGTGCCACCTTGATGACGATTTTCCCATTTCCCTTTGGATTCTCCCTGGCACAATTACTTCAGACTGCAGTCACTCCCCTTTCTCAGATCTCAACCACTCCTCCCCAACCCTTCCCCTTCATCCCCCTTTTCTTTCTTTCTTTCTTTCTTTCTTT